ACGCCCGCTGAAGACACAGACGTCCATCCCCCGGGAAACTGGGGCGGGACTCAATGGGAAAGGAAAGGATTCTGATTTCAACCGTTGCGTATATTAGCTGCAACATATGAATCAAGATGCTATGAAAGAAAAAAATTGATTGACAGATGACCGTTGATATATTATTGGCCGAATTTAGGTGTTCAGGCTGACGGAGAACTAACTGGCCTGCAGAAGATAACGGAAAAAAACACAGATTTTAAGACAGGATTTTTTTCAAATAGGAATTTTCTAACTTTTTGGATAACATGGTCTAATAAAGACTACATTTATATAAAGAATAATTTGATATTTAAAAACAACTTCCCTATGATTTTAAAGGAACAGTTTATTCCATTCGTGAACAGTTTGACTAAGAGTACAAAAAAAAGACATTGTACAAGTTTTACTTTTCATGCACTTCTTTAATATATCAGTTTTTCATATTCACAACCAATACATAAAGCCTTCTCAGTATATTTACAGCTTTAAATATTTTTACATTAATATCTCAAAGTGTTTTCTCCATATTTTTGAGCATCAAGAAAAGTGTTACATTTAAATTCTCCATGCCTCCTAGCAAACGGACAGTAAATTCTTTTTACAATTATTTACAGGTAAAAAAAAAAAAAAAATGCTGTAAAGGTCGCACTTAAAAATGAAGGTGCAAGGTGATGGATATGGATAAAGTTTAAGGCATGGCCAGAATGTGGGTGGAATAGAGTGGGTCTCCCAGTGACAGAGCTGAACTTCATGATAAATCCCTTAGATCCGCAGAAAAGATGTATTTTTTTTAAGTGTAGAGAATGAGAAACATCGTGGCACCTCTGGGAGATGACTGTTCAGTTCAACGGATCAGAAATTAGTTGCTCAAAGTGTAAAAGAAAAAAACTTTTTAGTGGTTCAGGCTGGAGTTTTGTGAAGCTGGGAATCCTCTCGTATCAAAGTCTAAACTCGCATGACAGCAAAGTGATGAAAGTCTGGTCATCAAGAAATAATCACTGGATCATTATTTATACCTAAAACTAATATGTTTGCAGTGATTTAATGAATTTAGCATTAATCAGTAAAAAAAATAAAAAAAATAAAAAAAAATTTTCCTCATTATCATCGAGTCTGGGAGCGGCCATTTTTGCCCAAATATAGTAACACCTCACTCTTGCCATGTTCCAGCAGTGACGTCACGGTGCGGTAAGCGTAGCGCCATTCTCACCCGCCACGACAAACACCAGATACAGCACTGGGACTTGATCAACAGCCGATACCGCACCGTGACGTCACTAACCAGTAGGTGGCAGTAGTGTTCTTTGACAAACATGGATGCCTCCAGTAAAGCACATTAAAAAAATGACTCTGAATAAAAAAAACGTATCATTTATTGAAGAGGAGGTCCTACTTTCATGTTTAAAGTACTTTCAGAGGTTTTAATCCTGAGCGGACTTCTCCTTTAAAGTCCATATCATCATGTTAGGATCCTCTTTAAGGATGGAAGTTATCCTTAACTCAGACAATGGCAGACTGTGTTCTCCAGCTTCAATCCTGTAATTTATGCTCTGAGGAAGTCTGGAGGACGTGCTGAATGAGATGCAGCAGCTTAAAGGCACCCTGACCTGCTTTTCTAATAAAAGCTGGATGTGACAGAAGCAGAAATTAAATCCACTAAAAGCCGGTCAGCATTTAGGAGGAAGAAGCTTCTACTCCGATTTTATGTTGACAGAAATAAGCAGACTCTGAAATCCGTTCCTCTAAATTAGGAATATCAGAATCAGACTGTTTTTTTTGTGTGATTGTGTTGTAATTAATTCTCAGGAGAAAATTCATTTAAAATAATCGTAAAGATGATCTGACATCTTGGATTAGACAGAGAAACTGACCAGCCGCCATGGTCGGTCCTTCCTTCGGCTTCCAGACGTTTTCACAGAGAATATTATTGGTGTGAGACAAAGATCAACCAAAGGCTAGTAGAAAACGACTCCCATCCTGCAGCAATAAATCTAATCCTCATGTTCAGTCAGAAGGGTGTTTTTTTTTCATCAGATGGCAAAGCTTTGCAGTCCTTCATGAAACAGGTATATATATACAGGTGCATGTCTGTTGTGGAGGTGCGCAGCTCCAAACGCTCTTTACAATGAAAGGATCCATGATGTCATATTTGACCCGTTTAACCTTCTACGATGATGGGGTTCTGACTCTAAATTATTACTTTCCCTTAAAAGAAAACCTCTCTTAATGCTCCCTAACCTGCAATACTTTCAGTCAACTTAGACCAGGGGTCGGCAACCAGCGGCTCCAAAACCGCAAAAATGTATAAAAATGGAAAAGGATTTTTTTTCATTTCAACATGGTGTGAAGGAGGTCAAACTAAAATTCAGCATGTTTTTCAAGTCTTTAAATATTTGTATAATAACTAAATTTAAACAATAAAGGTAAACATCTCTGTCAAAAAGATTAGCATCATATCCTGCAGCAGGTTTCAGCGCGGCGCAGCGCCAGGCAGGTGGCTGATGTAGACAAAGCAGTGGGTGTGTCTCAGACCACGGATCCCAAAGGGGAAAAAAGGAAGATGGCTGATGAGAACAGAGGATTCAGAGCAGAAGGCAGCGAATCATTTGCTTTCATTACCAATGAGGAAGGATTGCCTGCATGTTTGCTTTGAATGTTATCAAATAATAAAAGAGTCATTAGGAAAGACATTTCCAGGGAAGACTACATCTGCAGCCCACCATCAAGCTGGGAGGGAGAGAAAAAGTGTGATTCCAGAACTTCTGGATAAATTAGAGGAGAGCAAAGATAGATTTAACAAGTGGATTGCATCTCTATACTCCACTACTGCTGCTAGTTTGGTTGCTAAGATGGAAAACCGTCCATAGAACCAACAGGTAGCCCTCTGATGCAGGGATGGGAACTTTCTGCCATTTTTTCCCCCAAAATCCTCTAAATAAAAATGAATATAACTTTCTATGATTTCATTAATGCAAACAATCCAAATAAATTAATATTGTAATGGAGTTTAAACTTAAAGCAGCAAACATCAGCAGATTTGCAGGATGTAACATCTGCTCCAGGATAAACATTTAGTCATCAATGTTTGTTATATCTTTAAACCCACGTAGTCCTTTTAATAGTTGGCTAATAAGCTAAAGGGCTGGTTATCCTCCCGCAGCAGTGCGTCGCAGATAGCGTGTCGCAGGTATGACGCACATATTTTTAATTTATGCCCAATTTTAAAGCGTGGTCTGCGCTATGTTTTTCCACGCCACAACACAACGAACTAGCTGGGATTGTGGGCGTCCGTGTGTCGGTTTGACGAGCGTGTTCGCCGTCTACAGCCCCTCATCCAACGGCGGACGACGCACAGCTCACCCGTGAGTGTTCCCCAAAGACTGGCCGTGGCGCTGCGTGTTGCGGGCGCAAACCAACACACCGTCACAAAGAGCTACACACTAGCGTTCTGCACGGTATCTGGGATAGCGTCTGAGGTGTACCAGGCACCAAACAGGAAATAAACATATTGCAGCAGACAGGAGGCCTCTGATTGGTCAGTTCTCCATCCGCTCTGCACTGCGGTCCCCTACAGTTGTCTGGGGAAGGGGGTGGGGGGTGACAGACGACCTGGTTTCTGAGCATAAACCAGGCTTTAAAGCCTGTGTCGCCATACAAGGCTTATAGAAAACTTTTTTTTTTGCGGCTCCAGGGTTGCCGACCCCTGTATTAGACAAAGCCTCAGTAGAGAACACTCCGCCATATTTTCCTTCACATTAAAGACATAATGCTTCACCAAGCTGAACCTGATGCTTTTAGCCTTTTTCCTTGAGCTGCCAGCTTTAGATCTGGAGTTCGGATTCTGTTTGGTCATTTGAAGCTGAACATAACGGCACTGAGCAGCTGTTAGGACACAGCAATAATCTTACAGATGTTTCACAGTCGTATGGCGGCTTTATTTAGCGACCATATTCACTTCACGGGAGAAAAGATTTGACAGGAAAACAGGATGAAAAGCAAAATAAGGAAAAACAAAGTGCAAATAACAGGCCGACATGAAGGCTGAAAGCTTTTTGTGCTGTGTTGGACTCCACTTGTTAAACGGCATCTGTGAGCCTGTTCAACATCATCTTCACAGTCCAGCTCCTGGGGACCACTCTCTAAGTGGCACTTAAATAGAGTCATTGTTCCTGGAAAAAGGGGAAGGCAGATTCTCTAGAAACAACAAGCAAAGGTCACAAAGACTAAAACAAGCATCAAAACAAAGACTGCTATTCTAAACCAAAATATTTGGACCTCAATAAAAGAAAAAAAGAAAAATCTTATAAATATGTCAGAATCTGCAGGCCTGCCTGTACAGTAGAAGGCAAACAAATGTGATACCAACTTCAAGGAACCCCTTCATAAATAAACACCTTCAAATTTTCACACAATGAATGAAAGATGTAGCATTAGTTGGAAAAAAAAGAAGAGACTCAAAGTTTCTTCAGAATTAACAGAACTTCTCAACATGTTGGGCCAACATTTGAACCCAGAGCAGAAAGGAAAGAACAAAAAAAAGGTTTAGGAACGACCTGGAAGCCCAAAGACACGACAGCTGTACACGGCCTTCGCTTCCAAACCTTCACCCGTCCACTCCAAGCCCACCCTGCTCTGGGGAAAAGCAAACCGTGAAGACTTAAAGACCTGCATTCCAGTTTTTCATCAATCTGGAGTCAGTTGGTGGATCTACAGCCAATACAGCAACGGATCATCAACCAGTGGAAGATTAGCAGCTAAGAAGCTCAAAGCTGGTTTAGAAATGTGGCGTTTTGTTGGTTCTTAAAGTTTAAAAAGTCGTTTTTTAAAAGGTTAAATGTTTGCGTCGCTGGTGGACTCCAGATTGTTTGAGGGAAATGTGGAGAGAATATCCCAAAGGCTATAAATAAAAGAACAAACAAAAAAGCAACAAGTTGCTGAGAAACAGGGCAGAGCATTGAATGCTTGAAAAAACCCACCTTTCTAGGAGCCTAAAACTGTGAAATTAAAAATCCTGTAGACATAATCAACTGTTCTTTATCACCAGGTTAGCTTTTCAGGTCCAAAGGTGAGAGCATGTGAGGATTTGTTTTCTTTTAAGAACTAAGATCACAAAATCTGAAAGAAACAGGATGCAGCCTGCAGCACAACTCGGAGGAAACCTTTTCCTCTCAGACGGCTCTTCAGACGGTCTGCGTTTTAGGAAACAACTAGTGAAATGATGAAAGGGTAAGGAGTGGAAACGTTAGGCATCCTTCGCCTGGCGAGGATCTGCTGTTCATCAAAATGCAGTTCAGCAGCCAGAGCCGTTAGCTTCGCCTCAAATATTCACAGGTTTCCTCCAAACGCACTTTGCTTCACATATCTTTGCTTTTTTTTCCTTCATCCTGTGTTTTTCCTTCCTCTCCGTTGTGACGGGGACTAAAGTGAAGGCATCTCCTTCGGGGCGGCCCGGCACTGTGAGACGCCCTTTTTTTTTTCTTTCTTTTATTTCTCAGGAATCGATGAATCCATCCCAGGGTCCAAAAGAAAACGGAGGGGTGATGAGAGATGGACTGCTGTGCTGGCTGTTATTATTTAAAAGCAGAAAACTCCCCTGGAAAGACAGAAAAAAAGCAGCAGTGTTAAAGCTGGAAGGATTCAGCGCTGCGTTTCATCTCCGTGTGCATCCATCATACGAATCAACACACGCATCTAATGAATGCCGATAAAAACATCCTAATTTAAATTAGTAACTCTCATTCTAAGCCCAGTAATGACCCTTTAGAGATCTGCTTGCATCGATCAGTACCAGGTAGCAAATAGAGCTGCAGGTTGACTTAGAGGAGAATCTTTGGGTTCATGCAGGAACCAAAAGGAAAATCTGTAGGATTTTCACTTTTTCCCTCTGGTGAGCTTCCATCACACCGTTTCACCATTTATGTGTTTCCTGTTGGCCTGAAGGACGCAGATAATTGATAAAAACCTGCAGCCTGTTTCTGAGTGTTTTCAGTTTCAGACACTTTCTTTTTTTTTATTGTTTGTTTATTGAGATAAACAATGCCTTTTTTTGTATAAGGAGGGGTAAAATTACTTATACTGTCTTTAGGGCTGAAACAATTGGATTAATCGATTATTGAAAAAAATCATCAACTAATTTAGGCTCACCTTACTGTCTCACCTTGATGATTTATCCAGCGTCTGCCTGACGTCCCAGA